GTGGCGCTGCAGCACTTGCTCGCTCTGCCAAATGGAAGCCACAAGCCAGTCAGGGTCATGACGTCTCCTGCTGCTTCCTGGACACTTGCTCTTACTGGCAGGAGCAGTGAGCCAGTCCTGCCCCTACTCACCAAGCCTCTAGTGCAAGTCACAGCTGTGCAGATGCAGGACAGTCACAGATTTTTTTTGCCTTAAGGTATGACTACTCCACTAAGTCCAACAACACTAAGCCAACTAACATTTGTTCAGCTTACAACATAAGGTGTAACGAGGTCCCGAACAGCTTTAATCTGAGAGTCACTGTGGTAAGAGAAAGAAGACTGCGTTGCTGATGTCATATGGACATTGTCAGGAGCTGAGTTTCAGAAACCTAATTATTTAATTCTGAGTAGAATTCATTCTGATAAAATATAAAAGCAGCTTGTCATTTTTTTTGCTCAGGAGTCGTGGAAATTCTGCATTTTTTTGTCACTAGAAGGTCCAGAGTATTTAAAAATGCTGAGAACACTGAAGTAATTGTCATGAAAGATATGTATGCATGGGAAGAATGTGCCAATTAAGTAAAAATCACTTATTCATGTCTGAGTATTGGTGACATCACAAGAGCATTTTCAGAAACCTTCTAAGTCATTTGCTAGTTTACATGATCAGCAGCCGACTGCTCAGTGATCTGCATACCACATATATCACCTCACTGGATTACTTCCTTCCATAAATTAGCCCTGAGAGCATTTCCATGCCTGATGTGACCAAAGTACATAAATTTCTGTCTACTTATGTCTAGGGTCTACTTGTCCTTGACATTTCCTCTTTCTCCATCTCTTTTCTGTCCAGCAGATAACGCAAGAGTCCTTGTCAGCACATTTCAAAACCTATTTCCTCCCTGTCAAAAGCATTCATTTCCACAAACAGCATTCATAAGTTGCTCTGGAGAAAAAGAGTCAAGCTTTTTTTACCTGTCTGAATTTTTGTGCACTTCAGCAATCATAGGGTTTCCTCCACCTCAGACTTTGGGAAGGAGGACCTGGCTGAAGCAACCAATTTGAAACAACTTTCTTGGAGCTACAGGATACATCTAACAACTCTGACTTGCTCATTAACCAAGACGGTTGTCAAGGTCATTAGATATGATTTTGACAATTGTGGATCTGGTGCCCATTACCTCAGCCAGACAGTTGACAATCTTCCAGGTATAAATACCCATCAAATAGGTTGTTTTTGATATTTTGGAAGATCACCTGACCTTCAGTTAATCATGCTGGTTTTGCAACAGGAAGGATCATTCAGCAATGAACCTTCCCACTGTGACCCAAGGCATAAAGATAATCCCTGTGAGAAAACTGGTCCCAGAACAAAATGAAAGGCAACCCAGGTAAAAAGAAAAGGCTGCAGGAAAACAAACAAAAAACCCCCAACCCCCCCCCCCCCCTTT